ACACTCTCTCTCTCTCTCTCTCTCTCTCTCTCTCTCTTCAATTCTCTCCTCTCATTTTAAAGAGCACTAATCCCTTTTCCATACTATCATCTCAAAGAAGCTGAAGAATTGCTATCCATGCCACAAAAACTTTGGAAGTCATCCACCTTTGTGTTATCTTTACTGCTACTGCATGGAGGAGATCGAGAACTGTATCTCCTATTTAGTGTTTGCAAGCATGCATCTTTGGGTTGTCCTTATGAAATGACGAGCAATACCTTGTCACTTGATCTTAACATCAAGATGGCAAAAGTGGCCTTTCAGTTGACTTGTTTAGCTCAGCTTATTTGTATGGTTGGTTGAAAAGACACGACTGCAGAAGATGAAGAACTCAAAGTTGCATTTATTTGACAGTGTGGAACTGAAGATGAGAGGCTCTTGGATTGACAACCATTAGCTTGTTCATCACAGCAGATCAAGTGCTTGAGGTCTATCTTTCGGTTTGACAACCATTAGCACAGTTAATCATCTTTGTTGCTGCGTTGGAAAACCCGTTTGCAACCTCAGGAAGATAGGGAGGCTCAATTGTTGATGATTTCCACTTTCTTGATGATAAAGGCAAATAGCCATTGGCTTTGATATGGCTAAACTTTTAGCAAGATATCTACTTGATCAATCCAAAATTCCTTGACTAAAAACTCTGTTTTTATTGCTGCAAATAATGCATGCAGGATGTCACATTTTCTATATCATTATCAAGTTTATCATACTAACATTTGTGTCATAATACTCCTGTCTGTGCAGTGCTGCACTAACAATTAGATCATCGGCAAAAGGTTTTACTCAAAGTTGACAGTACTTAATTGCGGTTGGATTTGTTGTCTTTAGTCCATAGGCTAGCAAACATGGATGGATTTGGTTTTGCTTCTAGAGAAGAAAAATACACCAAATTCTTGAGCACCATGAGATGCTTTCCTTTCCACTTCTTCCCTCTTTCTGTATGTGTCTTTACATGCATCCAGTATTTCTTGACCATTTTCTTATCCAGGCAGCAGTAATGGCTAAACTATTGCTGCAAAAAATGTCTCCTAGAAAGCACTCGAAGAGTTCTTCAACTCATATGTAGTAATGAAGCAATTTCTTACATTCCTTTCAAATATTCGAATCAAGTAATTGTGATTCATTTTTCTCACATTGATCGAAAGCAGATGCACGCTGATGATCTTGAAGAAAACAATCCTCAGTTCATCACTCATATTTATTTCTTGTATGTGATTTCATCACTTTCAAAGCTCAAATTATGTTCAATTACAGTGCTGCTGTTAATTTCACATGAAACTTGTCTACATCTCACAACAAACTACATTTTCTTGGAAGGAGGCAGCTTAAGCACAAAACATAGCATCAGCAGCAAAAGTGAGACATTTCTTAGAAAGAGATGCTAGTAATGAAGGAAATTAATGATCAATTAGGTCAAGTGTGGCACAAATGCTGCAGATGTGAAGCAGGAGGAAGCAGCTTGAAACCTGGGAAAGAACTCATCAGGTGGCTATTAATGCCTGTTTGTTGCCACTTGGTAGCTAATCAACATCAATTTGAGGCCCTCAAAGGACCGTTAGCTGGTAGTCAGAATTCGATGTTTTGTGTCCTTTTTGCAGGCGATGCAGCACGAAAGTACTATTCTAACTATCAAATGAAAACATGTCCCAATTCTATCGGAGCCCAAAATCTGTTCTAAAACAAGCTCAAAAGCTGTTGTCATTCTCTTCCTTGACCAAATTTATGCTTTGGGTTTTGAGGAACTCTACTTTGTTCAGAGGGAACAGCCCGGGCAGAGTCTGCTTGCTTTGTGAGTCATGCATCCAATTAGATCAAGCAGTCAATCCGTTGCTCCCACCGAAGGAACTGTTGCAGTCATCAAGAAATAGAAACAATCAAGGATTTTGGATATATAATAGAACTATTTGAATTCTGGTAATAAATATTGACCAAGGATTCCTAAGGGGATATCCTTGATGGGAGGAACTCTCGTAATAACTTATCATAGATCCTCTACTCTCGTCTATAAATAAACAGGATCTCTAAAAACTAAATGAGACATCTAATAAATGAGTTTCTCTCGACCTTCCTGAACCATCAATCTAAGTATTCCTTTAAAAAGATAGGAAGAGAGCAGATTGACATGATAAGAAAAGAGAAGAAGAGTCTAGTTTTCTAAGCGGCGGTCATTCGTGGGCAGCGGCTGTGCTTAGGCGATGGCCATGCACAGGCAGGAGTCGTGGCTAGTCGTACGTAGGTGACGACAACCGTGCAGGCAGCAACCACTCGCGGGCACAAGCCACGCCCAGACGACAACCACCCACGGGCACAAGCCGAGCATTAGGCTAATCGTGCAGGCAGTCGCACAGGCAGCAACCCGCACACGTGACGGTCGCGCAATGATAGAAACCACGCCGGCGGGCAGGCCACACCGATGGGGGCTCAAGGGGGTTTTAGGCAAAATTATTGAATCTCGAATTTTGATGATAAAATCAATTGATGGGTTAATTGATCTAATCCATATTATTGAGTTAAGTATGCAGGATTAACTATGATAGCCTGAAAACATAAAGCAAGGATACCGGAGTCAAGTTCGATGAGTGTTTGAGAGTCCGAAGATTCGACGGAGATGTTGCAAACCAACTGAGAAGAAATCGGGGACTTGTCAAAATTTTCGGAAGTCCGCTAAAGAGATCGTCGGAGGTTCACGAAGTTCACCAAGAAGGCTCAGCTACTCGCAAAACTCGCCACAAGATCGGGAGCCTGCTGGGAGTCCGCCGGAAGAAATCCGTAGGTGTATTGGAAGTTCGCCGGAAGATCGCTGGAAAGCTCGCCGGAAGGAGACTTGACGTTTGCCAATTTAAAGCTTACTTAGGACTACGTTTTCAGTTGCGTAGTTTGCATGTAATTAGGGTTAGGATTAAGGGATAATCCTATATCCTGGTTAGGGGCCAACTTGGCCCGAATATGACTTGGTTTGGGTTGGATTTGAAGCCCAACCAATGACCGGTAAAGGTCTGGCAGTGGAACCGTCGGACTGGGCGGTGGCACCGCCCAGAACCCGAGAATCGGGCAATAGCACCGCCAGTACACTGTCAGTGTCAGACACTGACAAGCGGTGGCACCGCCACTAACAGGTGGTGGCACTGTCAGCATCGGGAACCGAAGAGAATTCAAAATTTGGAGCTCAAATTTGAATCCTCTTGGGGTCTATAAATACCCCTCAATTCTCAACAGAGAATACAACTCTTGAGAAGTAATAGATTGAGATAAAAGCCTTAGCAAAGTCTTTAGCAAGTCTTGTTTTCAATTGCTTGAGTGTTCACCTCCTTCTTTCTCGTTGAAAATTTATAAGAGTGTGAACCACTTGTAAAAAGTTGTAAGAGGGGTATTTGTCTTTCCTCTTCAAAGTGATTTGCTAGTGGAAGTTGGGAGCCTCTTCGAAGAAGACTTCACAAGTGGATGTAGGTCATTTTGACCGAACCACTTTAAATTGATGTGTTCCTTGAATGTGTGAGTTGTTACTTTCCTGAAATTGTTATTTACACTACTGCTAGCTTTCGGTTTTCATCTACTCAATTTACTATCGAAATGAAATCTTCTCGTATTCATGAATTCGTTTTTACTTATAAGTTTTAATCCGCTGTACTAATTCATCCCCCCCTCTTAGTGCCGCTCCGATCCTAACAATTGGTATCAGAGCAAGGCTCACTCTTATATTTGGTTTGATACCCAAGAGAGATGGCTTACTCCGGCATACATGAGGGTCATTCTATCACACGTCCACCCATGTTTAATGGGTCGGATTACACTTATTGGAAGACTTGTATGAGGATCTTCCTCATTTCCACGGATTTCGAGCTTTGGACTATTGTTGAAAACGGATTTCAAAAATCTTCTCTTCCAATGAGCGAATGCAATGAATCGGAGAAGAAGATTTTTGCTTTAAACGCAAAGGCTATGAATGCCTTGTTTTGTGTATTAGACAAAAATGAATTTAATCGTGTTTCAATTTGTGATTCGGCTTTTGATATTTGGAGAACTCTTGAGGTCACTCATGAAGGTACTAGCCGAGTGAAAGAGTCCAAAATCAACATTCTTGTGCACTCTTACGAACTTTTCCGAATGAAACCAAGTGAGTCCATCGGAGACATGTACACCCGGTTCACGGATGTCATCAATGGACTCAAAGCTCTTGGTAAAGATTTTTCTAACTTTGAACTTGTAACTAAAATCTTAAGATCCCTTCCTAAAAGTTGAGATCCAAAAATTATGGCCATTCAAGAGGCCAAAGACCTTAAAACATTTCCTCTTGAAGAACTTATTGGGTCTCTAATGACATACGAAATGACATGTCATGCTCATGAAGAGCTCGAGAACCCCCTTCCAAAGAACAGGAAGGATATGACACTCACATCACAAGAAGACCACTTGAAAGGAACATCAAGTGATGAGGACAGTAATAATGACATTGCACTTTTAACTCAAAAATTTTAAAAATTTATAAGAAAGAATAAATTTAAAAATAACACAAAAAATAGACTTGAACCTAAAATGGACCAAGT